ATCAAGTTGATGTTGACAGTAGTTCTCACTCCATGAAAATATTTCAGGTTTCAAACTTACTGGACTATTTACATAAATGAGTGTGGATAATATCAATCTTTTTGACTCAGTGGTACATACTTTAGTTTGTCAAAACCCACTGTTTTGGCAAACTAATGGCAGCATAATAATGCCCTGATTTCATTAAAACCACATTAATTATTTGGCAGCATATTAAGACCTAACAATAAAACATGAAATAATGGATACTGTAGCAGCAATACGTTAACCACACACACGCACGTACAACATACACAGCTTTTCGCCTACTTGGCGTTCCATACAAATATATCGCGGCCGAACTTGTTCACGGCCGAACCGGTCGCGATTTTTTTTTCCGTACGAAACATTTTCATGAAACTCCACTCGGGCCGTCTCGGGTTGATTCGACTCGAGTTTGATACAAACAAGAGCAGGCACTTCGCAATGTCGTGACGCTCGAGTATTCTATTACCTTTATTGTATTGTTCTTTATATATTTACCTACGGTAGGCCTATGAAATCTTACCGATTTATGGGATGTAGGCTACGTCTGTAACTAACTGTGATCTTCTTGTATGTTTGTTATTAAATGTAATACTACCTACAAAAACAACAGTACCTCCTTCGCGCGCGCCACTAGGATTGGTCCTAATAGTACCAGTAGTAAATACATTCCTATCAATTAAGGCTAGAGCAAAAGAGGCTGAACTAGTGGGCCTAGTTACAAGCTGAGTTAGGTCCTACCTGCTAGCCTCCCCTACCCCCCACCCCAGACTAGGCCCCTAGGTTCCTAGGCCTGACACAACAGTCACGCTTCGCATGCCATTGACTGAAATTTTGAAAAAAATTTAAAACATGAAATTAAAATGGGACAGTGAGTAAAAAAAATATTAAATATAATAAATTAAATACATCACTCCGACATTAATAAACTTGGCCTAAGCTTTGTAATGTAATTAATATTAATAATAATAATAATAATAACAATAATAATATTAATAAAAATAATAATAATAAAATAATAATTAAATAACGATATATAATTTCGCCATTAATTAACTTAGTCTAAGGCTTGTAATCAAGAAGAACCTACAGTATACTATAGGCCTATAATCCAAACTCCCTGCCTTAATTTTCAGTAATTCTAGGCGGAAGCAGGTCAACTCGGCCCCAAGTCAACACGGCACCATGTCAATTCGGCCCCAAGTCAACACGGCACCATGTCAACTCGGCCCCAAGTAAACTCGGCCCCAAGTATATCGTTATTATCATTAGTTATTTTATATACCTTTTTATATTTTTATATTATTTTAATATTATTCTTGGTAAATATAATATATAAAAATAAATAAATACACAGTAAATTGGGGCCGAGTTGACTACTTGGGGCCGTGTTGACTTGGGGCCGTGTTGACATGGGGCCGAGTTGATTTGGGGCCGAGTTGACTTGGAGCCGAGTTGGCATGGGGCCGAGTTGACTTGGTTCCGAGTTGACTGGGGCCGAGTTGAATTGGGGCCGGGTGCGATTTTTTTTCCGTACGAAACATTTACATGAAACTCCACTCGGGCTGTCTCGGCTGAATCGACCCGAAAATCTCATTGCAGAATTCAGGAGGTCAAAAGGTCATCAACAGATAAACGTCTACAAA